TCATTTGACAGTTGACAGCTTCTCTTTAAAAACAAAACAGGGAGGTGTTTTCTAGTCAATTACTGTAAGTAGACTTCAAAAAAACATTTTGTAAGTTATGCTTGTGTGCTAACAATGACATGGTGTTGATCTTTTTCCTTCCCAGCCCCCAATTATACAAGAATCAAAGCAAATTCACACATGATATTTCCAAAACTGGCAACCTTGTTTAAATTATTTTAAAGGTATTTGATGCTTTGGCTCTATATGCAGACATTGGGGGAAAAATACAAGACAAGTGGAAAATGGCTGTTTTGCCAGGAGAAACTAGCACTGAATGGTGATCTCCCCACTCGAACACCTGATATTCTTCCCCCAGTGCCTGGTTGGATTTACTCATATGTTAGATGTCTCAAAACACTGATCCCCTACGCCCAGCTCAGGACCTGGCAGATGGGAAGGACTCTCCAAAATAAATGCAAGGTTGAAATTGAAGCCTCTCACACTGCAATAAAACTGTTTAATTGGCTAAGACTTTGGGAGAGAAGTAGTACTTGCTCGATTCCAAAACATGGAACCGCGCACCCTGACCTCCTCTTGGGAAAAGAGTACAGCAACAAATGTGCGAGCCCAGCTGAGGAAGCCTCCAGAAGGCACACCCGCCTGGTTCAAAGGCTCTGGGAGAGAAAGCAGAGAGAACTCCGTGGTCAAGTTAAAGGATGCCTTTATTCTATACCGCAGGGTATAGAATGAGTTGGTGCAATAACCAAGATTATTTTTTCCGCCCTCAAAAAACTGAAGAGGGTGTTGGAATTGCCTCCTCCAAAATACATATATACTCAGAAACCTCACGGTCTGAATCTACTCTGAAATGATGCTTCTTCCTGGGAAAATAATCTTGAATTAAGGAGAAGTGCTTATTTTAAAAAGGCTTTCGTTTTACACGAAAACGTGCTCCCCTCTGTTCCTCATCCCCAGGGTGCTGGCTCTGGCACCTAGAGGAAATTCTGTCTGGGGGCAATTTAAAAGGGGAAAGGGACAAAAGGGGGATGCTGGACTCTCTTCCTCAATCCGAGAGTCTCCCAAAACTCTGCCTCCAGCGCTAGAATTCCAGATCCGAGCTGTGACTAGCACGAAAGAGCTAGGGCCAGCTCCGGAGGTTTTGGAGACGCTAAGAAGATGAAGTCCTCGCACCAGATACCCCATCCACAGGGCCGGGTATCGCTGGCTCCCGTCGCGATACGGGCCTCGCTCCCTCCTTCCTTCGGGTCCCTACCTCCCTTGTGGAAAGAATCTGGGGAACAGGAACGGAGCCCGGCTGAGAGACTCGAGTGGAAGAGGATGCGGATGGGCCGGGCAGCCCACCTCAGGGCTGGCCGTGGCCGCTCTGCCCCAGGCTCGCCTGAGAGATCCG